GGGGGGGGGGGGGCGAATGCATCGTGAGTCGACACGAGGACAGCGGCAGGAGACGAACGATTCGTTAGAATATCTACGATTCATGTGATTGTAAATACATAGCGTATAAATAACGTAACGTTAATTAATGATATGCCGTACGTGTTACACACTAAAGAAACAAGAAATAAACTAAATAACATTACTGTGTAATTTTCCGAATCGTAAGGACACGCATTGGAAAATAAATATGGGTCTGGCCGCCCGTGCTAACCGGCTCGGTAATCACGATAATACGGTATCGGAGGCCAACGGGGCGGAAGGAGAGTGGGAGAGGGGACGAAATGCGATATAATTAAATTGATGACGCGCGTACACGTATACGATATTCTTAGGAAGATCGACAGTGAACCAGGGATAGGATTTCGAGGACGGAGCCGCGCCGATAAATATATGACAATTGACACGCACGCAGAGAGAAGTCACGTACATGTGCGCTCAGCGCTTCGACTATATTCGTTGAGAGCACATGTACGTGACTTCTCTCTATGTGCGTGTCAATTGTCACATACTTATCGACGCGGCTCCGTCCTCGAAATCCCAAACCTGACGGGAACGCGCGAAAAAAACGTATTGCGAAGGGAGGAGACTCGCGGCTGCGCGTTAGCAAAGTCGAAATTTCGCTTGCACATTAACTCCACACAAAACGCGTCGAGAGAGGAAGTAATCTCGAGATGTAACATTGTGCAGGCAACTCCTCGTCTCGGTGCCTACAAATGGTTACTTCATGCTCACTTTTCCGTATTAAATTGTCCTTAAAGAAAAAAGAAAAAAAAGGATCTACTTCAGAATTATTTGATATTCAAGTACTTCAAAATATTCTACCCGCTGCAATCTTCATTTTTACTTTCAAGAAGCAAAGTATTAATCACGTAGTTTACTTGATTGCAGATAGAGTGTGTGACGATGAGCAAATATTGAATAATTGATGCAGATGAAGAGTGCGGTCGAGACAGACAGAAATGAAAAAATAATTTCCTTTCTTCGTAATCTTTTTGTTATTTTTCTTTCATTGGCGTTGGAAATACATATGAAATATACATCTGTACATCGAGAAATGTAAATGATGTATCGCTATCATCGCGACTTCCACCTTGGCTACCCCATCTACTAGCAATCTACTGCTCTTGGCCCGCGTCATGGCACTTCAGGTCTCGTGACACTCGCGTATAGATACGGCTTAATCGAACAAAAAAAATACATGTGTTAATTAACGTGATATCGCCAAGAATCTGATTAAATGCTTCAAGAATCGACAAAACATTTTGCATCACAAATGTAAATATTACGCTCAGCTACGGGAAAGAAGTGTGCGAGGCTGCCAAAACAATTGGCGAAAAGAGTCAACTTACCCCCCCCCC